CCTTCAGCAAATGTTTCCTAATATAAAATTCTAGGGCCATATATACAACTCCCTACTCCACAGTTCTGTATCTTGCACAGCCACCTCAAATTCAACACGTCCAAATCTGAACTCATTGTCTTCCTCTCACTACTACCCTTATCTTATATTCCAAAGCTCAGTTAATGGCATCATTACTTCTTTTGTTGTCCAAATAAAAAACCTGGAAGAGATTCTTCATTTTTCCCTCACTTTTACTATTCTACATCGAGTTGGTAAATGAAGCCAGCTGATTGATATTTCTATAATAAATAAATGTTCCCTTCTTTCTAAACCACATCTCATCATTTGTCCACATGATGAAATTTTTTTTCCCATGTTCCGGGATCGTAAGTAATCACGTTATTTCCAATTGTACCCTCTAATTTCTTTGTCCTCATTGTGGCTGGAATGATATTCCAAATGCCAGTATTTCTCTTCCCTCATTTCTTAACCACATACCTTCAACAAAATGTTCAGAATTCTTTCCACGGCATACAGAGTGTATATCTTATTTGTTTTCCACCATCATCATTTGCTGCTCCCCACATCTACATTTTGCTGTCTACTCGGAATAAGTTCCACGGTGGAATGTCTATTACTCTCATTAGGAAATGTGTAGCCTCCTAATTCTTTGGCCTCACATCTCGTTTGATTTAGCTTATTTCCTCAAACTCAACTGCTGACTCACCTATTCAGTAGGTTGCCAGAAGAAATACAGGATGCCCAGTGAAATTTGTATTTCAGATAAACAACAAGTAATATTTTAGTATAAGTATGTCCCATGTAATATTTGCGACATGCTTATACTAAAATATTATTCATCCTGTATTTTTATTTGTTAAATCTGGCAAGGCTTCTCCACAAGAAGTCTTTCCCAAAAGCTCTTCTAGACTAGTTGCCATGCTCATGCATTAAAAGCACATCTATTCCATCACGTATATGATTGTGTTGAATGTATTTAAATGCCTCCACTTGCCAATAAACTGTCTAGAAAAGTAGCTTAAATTATGAAATTCCTGTGGGTCTATTCTGCAATTTCCTAAATGAAGAGGAAAGTTTCATCTGGCAAAGCTGGACTGAATATTAAATACAACTTTAGTATTTTATATTGATAATTATTATCTTATAATTAATATTTTAATCTATTTGACTTTGGATGGCCTTTATTATTTTTCTTGTAAGAGCACTGAACTATATAACTTAAACACTAAGGATGATTTCCTTTTTTAGAAGTTTCTTCAAGATTTGTAAAGAGATTATAAATGATTTTGCTGGAGCCTATTTTAATGTCTCCAGGACACAAATACAAATGTCAAAAATATAATCAATTTATGTACAAACAAGTACTCTTTAATGCTACTAATAATGCTTCATTGGTGTGAATAACATATTATGGGTGAATATGATTAACCAAAGGACTTGAGTTTATGAATACCTATAGACATAAAATGTTGTTTCGGAAAATATTTACAGGTGACAGCTCTAAGCTAGCATAGTTGAATATTTTTCCACCAAATACTGTTTGACTTGTTTGATTAGGGGTGGAAAACTGTTAAAAATTGATAGCATTGGATCCCAATAAAAAGTCTGATACTAATTGAAGGCTGACTACATGCTCAGACCTTTGTGAAGTATATCATTGATGAATGTGCATGCCTCTGTTTTACTTCTATTTTTACATTTTTAACAGGTTAAAATTTATCAAAATTCATATTTTTATACAACTACAAACACAATATATATGATACTATGTGTGTGTGTGTCTGTATATGTACTTATAGAAAGAGCCTTAAAGCTAATGATTTTAAATAAAATTTTATTTATGTGATTCTTAGCATATATACCATTTTAGAAATAAGTAGATATCTCTAGTTAACTAGTTTTCAGTGTAATAAATTAGGTTTACATCCTTAGAAAGGAATAATTCAATGAGAATTAATACTAACACAAATCGATGTCAGTTTATGTTCTTCTCTACTTAGGAGTTTCGTTGAATTCTGTAATTCTTGAATGTATTTTCCCTACTTTCTCTAGGATTTTCTCAGCAAAACCTTTCAATCTTGATCTAATAAAATTTTAGGTAAAATACTAAAGTCAACTATATTTTTAAGTGTACTGCCCAATGACTTTTGACAAATGGAGTAATCCACTCCCCAATCAAAATGTTGAATATTTCAATCAGCCCCCAAATTTTTCTCATGTTCCTTGCCAATTGATTTCTGCCACCTTGAAAACAACTGCTATTCTGATTTCTATCACCATAGTTTAGCTCTGCCTGTTCTAAAACTGTAAATGAATGGAATACTACAATATTTACTATTTTGTGTCTGCCTTTCACTCATAGTAGTGTTTTAGCAATTCATTCTTATTATGTCATCTTCTAGTAATTTGCTCAGTTTTTTGATGAACATTTTTCGTTGAATCAATATACTACAACTTGTTTATCCATCTTCTGATAACGGACATTTGATCGTTTCCAATTTGGTGCTGTTATAGATACAGCTGCTATGAACATATGAACATACATCTTTTCTGGACATGTTTTCATCCCTATTGGATCAATACCCAGAAGTGGAATTGTTGTGTCATAGGGAAGGTATTACATTAGAGTTTTCCAATGTTATTTAACCATTAACTATCCCTAGCAACATATTTAGAAGTTCATTTACTCCCCATTCTCACCAATATTTTGTGTTGTCAGGCTTTTTAAACTTTTTCCATTGCAAAGAGTATATATAATTGTATCTCCTTGTACTTTTAAATGTCATATCCCCAACGACCACAATATTGAAAAAACTTCCATGTGCTTATTTGCCTTGCCTTTGTAAAGTGTATGTTCAAATAATTTATCCATATTTTTATTTTTCATACTTGTTATTGGTTTATAATATTTCTTTATATATTCTGGATAAAAAGATTCATTTTTCAGAGACATGTATTAAAATAGCTTTTCCAAGTGTTGCTTCACTAATCACTTTTTTAACAATGTCTCTTGAAGAACAGAATTGTAAATTTTTATAAAGTTTATTATATGCTCTTTTCTTTTAATGAGGGGACTTTCTATTCCAGTTCAAGAAATCTTTGCCACCCAAACAAAGGTCAAGATATTTTACTAAGCTTTCTTCTAGGAGTTCTGGAGTTTTATTTTTATGGCTATGATCCATCTCCAATTAATTTCTGTGTTTGAGATGAAATAGTGGTTGAGATATATTAATTTTAGCTCCATTTGTTGAAAATATTTTTCTTTTACTCATTATATTGCTTTGGATCTTTATTGAAAATCAATTGACATCATATGTTTAGCTCTAGACTATATTTTAGGTTCCATCATTTTTTTCTCTTCTTATATCAATGCCACACTCTTGATTATTGTAGTTTTACAGTAACTCTTAAAGTCAGGTGATATAAGTCCTAAAATCCTTCTTTTTTGAAATTGTTTTGGCTATACTAGGCCCTTTGTATTTACAAACAAATTCTAGAATATGCTTGTCATTGTATACAAATGACCATTGGGAATTTGATTAAGATTGCATTAAATCAAAAGATCAATAAAGGGAGAATTATCCTTTTAGCAACATTTTGTCTTCTAATCCATTATCATGTTTTATCTTTCAACTTATTTAGGTCAATCATATATTTTTCTCAAAGCCTTGTTGTATTTTGTTTTTATTATAGAAATCTGTATCTTTTGTTGAATCTATTATTTTAAAAGTATTTTTGATGGTAGTATACATTATTATTTTTTTTTTTAATTTTTTTTAATTTATTTTATTTTTTTCCCCCCAAAGCCCCAATAGATAGTTGTATGTCATAGTTGCACATCCTTCTAGTTGCTGTATGTGGGACGCGGCCTCAGCATGGCCGGACAAGCAGTGTGTTGGTGTGCACCCGGGATCCGAAACCGGGCCGCCAGCAGCGGAGCGCGCGCACTTAACTGCTAAGCCACGGGGCCGGCCCTGATGGTAGTATACATTATTTTTAACAGTTGTTTTCAAATTTTTTATTGCTAATGTATAGAAATACAATTTGCTTTTACATATTAATGATATATATTCTGACATTGTCCACTGCAGTTACTAAAATATTTTATTTTAATGTTTTTGTAAATTCCTTAGAGATTATATATACACAATGGAAAAGTTTGCAGATAAAGACATTTTTACATCTTCTTTTCCAATGTTTATGCTTTTTATTTTTTATTGCATTGGTTAAGACCCTAGATATATTGAATACAAGTGTCAGAATGTACATCCATACTTCTTCACAAACTTAGGGGAAACTGTTCATTCTTAAACTTTTAAACGTGATAGTAGAAGCCAGTTATATAGCTAACTCTATCAGATTCAGAGGAGTTCGTTCTAGTCTTAGTTTGATGAGAATTTTTATATCAGTTGGCGTCAGCTTTGCCAAACACTTTCTGTATCGATTGCGATGATCATATGATTTTTATCTGTTACCTAATTTCTTAAAATATTTAACCAAACTTACATTTTGAAATAAACACCAGTTTTTCATGACATATTGTCATTTTTTATTGTCATATTTGATTTCTGAGTATTTTGTTAATGATTTCTAAATCTATGATGATAGAAGATATGAACATATGAATATGAACATATAGTTTTCCTTTCTTCTAATGTATTCATCTGATTCTGGTACCAGGGTTATGGTGGTCTCATAAAATCAGTAAAAACTATTTATATCCCACTATTTTCTGAAAGAATTTCAGTAAGATAGATAATATTTCTGCTTTAAATATTTGTGGAAAACACTGGTAAGGCTTGGTGGTCCTGGAGTTTGAGGAATGGTTTTAATTAAGAATGCATTTTTTTTTTTTCTGAGGAAGATTCACCTTGAGCTAACATCTGTCGCCAGTCTTCCTCTTTTTGCTTGAGGAAGATAAGCCCTGAGCTAACATCTGTTGCCAATCTTCCTATATTTTGTATGTGGGTCACTGCCACAACATGGTCACTAATGAGTGATGTAGGTTGGCACCCGAGAACCCAACCTGGGCCGTTGAAGCAGAGCATGCCGAACTTAACCACTAGGCCACGGGGCCAGCCTAAGAATTCATTTTTTAAATACATATAAAAGGCTATTCATATTTTCTATTCCTTCTTTTATCAGTTTCTGTGACTTCTATTGTAAAAGGAATTTGGCAAATTCATGTCAATTCTAAAATTCATTGACGTTATCCATAATAGTTTCTTCTTATTTTTTTAATGTTTGTACAACCTATAGTGCACTCCTTTTTCATTCCTGATACTGGCAAACTGTGTTTTATCTCCTTTTTCTTGACCAGTAGAGACATTTTTATTTCAATATATTTTCAATGAATCATGCTCTATTTCATTGGCTTCCCTGTGCTATTTTTTCTGTTGTCTATGTTGTTATTCCTTGTATCTTTAGTATATCCATTCTTTCTACTTATTTAGATTTTTAATTTTTTCCCTTCTTTTAGCTTCTTAACATAGAAGCTTAATTCAGTTGAAAACCTTTTGTTTTTTTTAATGTGTGCATTTAAAATGGTAAATTCTTTTCTGAGCACTAAGCTGCACTTCAGAAAGCTTAATATATTGTATTTTCATCTTCATTCATGTAAACTGTTCATTAATGTCCACTGAGATTTCTTCTTGGATATATAGCAGTATGTTGCCATTTTCCAATCATTTGGGAATTTTCTTGATATCTATTATCTATAATTGAGTTCTAATTTAATTCTGTTGGTCAAATAATGTGATTTTAGGCTTTTAAGATCTTTATGTCAAACCATATGTTCTATCTTGAAATATGTTCAATAGGCCCTTGGAAAGAATGCGAACTCTGCAGGTTTAGGGTGTAATGATTTATAAACGTCAACTAGCTCAAGCTCCTTAGTAGTGTTTCTCAAATCTTCTATATGTTTATTGATTTTTTTACTCTACTTGTTCTATCAATAACTGAGAATGAAGTTTTAAAATTTCCAAAAATAATTTAAATCTGTCTATCTCTCCCTTCAATTTTGTAAATGTTTGCTTCATGATTGTTGAATTCTATTCTTAAGAGCACACATCTTTACGACTTTCATGTCTTCCTGACAAATTAATCCTTTTGTCAATAAGAAATTTCCTTCCTCATCTCTTGTAATATTGCTTATCTTGAAGTCTATTTTTTCTATTTATATAGCCCCCCCATCTTTTTGTTATAATTACACTTGCATGATATATCATATTTGACCTTTTTACCCTTAAGGACTTAACCTTGACATATTTAAAATGTGTCTCTTATAAATGATATATAGTTGGATCTTGCTTTTTTATACCATTTAAAGAGTCTGTCTTGATCTCGAGTCAAGATGGCGGCATAAGCAGACTCTGAACTCACCTCCTCCCGTGGACACAGCCAATTTACAACTACTCGTGGAAAAATTACCCCTGAGACAGAACTGAAAACTGGATAAG